ACAAATATTTATATACAATAGAAGATTCCCGATACTCCTGTCATCCTCATGAACCTTTAGTATGCTTCCAGAAGGTTCACTGGGAATCCTCTAAGCTCCGGGTATTTCCAGATCCTTCCCGAAGATTCCTCTAGTGTCATTGCCTGCGCTAGCTAGCGTGGGCTACAGGAATCCTTAAGGTTCGCAGCCGTTACACCTAGTTATTTAATAATCAAGAATCAAGTTTTGTTGTTAGTATATTATCTTTACCCTCAAGTATTCAAGATTTCACGCCTACATATTCAAGTTAAGTTACTAAGTCTCAAGAGAACCTCACACAGCTCTAGTTGTGCGGTCATGTAATATATAAGGACTGGGAGTTATGCAGGCATTGAAGATGATCCATGCGTACATACACATAATCGGGGCGGTCTTTCTGGTTAAGCCTAGGTAGAAAACCTTGGTGATTTAGTTACAATAGGAGATTGAGCCAATAACGTTTACACCTTTCATATATATCTCAGAAATGATGACTAACTAGGTTGGTGAGTAATGGGTTACCTGCTTAGGAGTGACGTTGGGAGAGAGGGATAACTACTGCATGTACGTGTTTGATTTGGTTAGATAAGACTATAATCAAGATACATGTTAATCGCTAATCGTTATTACTACTATATAAATCTTGTGATATTAATACCACCCTAGTATTTCAACAGGGCTCCTCTCTGACCCAAGGCCACACCTTGTACAGTGCTCCTTGCCTCTTTTGTTACTTGAAACATCATTGATATATTGCCCGTGATGGGCAGCCATTCAGCTTAGTATTTACCCCTGGAATTCGGCCTCCTATACCACGGAACCTTCTACCCAAAAAGATGGTAGCAATTGAAACTGCGTGCGCGGGAAGAAGTCGCAAAAAAACCCTACAGCCCCAGCCAGGCGAGGCCTAGACACCGGGACCATATGAGGTGCGCATATTCATCTATATCTACCTCCTTTGTAACATTAGAGGCCGACTTGATCCAATCCATCATCTCCGTATCGGGTGCTGGGTACGTTCCGGAAACTCATCTGGTGGCGTTTTCCCCATGATCAAGGGTTGGTGATGAGTAGGAATTCGACCCCATCATCTGATATGATCTAGGTGTGACGACCAGAAGGGAGCACAGGTTAGCAGATGAACAAGTCGAATCAGGTAAGGACTCAGATCTGGAATATAATTCATAAGATTCTAAACTAAGGGAAGAAAATAACAAGAGGTATCTAGAGATATCATTATATACATAATTTACAACTGGTCCGTGCATATGTAGGATCACAACACAATACCTGAAAGGAACAATAGTATTAGAGGCCCCGAGGGTCAGGAATAAAAGGCCGTAATACTTGGCTAACTTCATGATAATGGTGCTAGGAGGATGCGTTGAGAGATGAAGACTGTACAGACGACGAAAACGATTGGAAATCATCTTCGAAGTGAGGACTTTGTTACTCACTCTTGGCTCTGCAGACTCCATAGTGGGAGCTGGCGGTTCGTAGCGGACACCAATGACAGGTGTTGAGAATAGTCCCCCTTCCTCACGAAGGAGGATAGATACGAATGAGTGAGATTGTTGTCAGTGAGTTACCTCATACATAGAATCCATAGGAAATATACCGACAATTACAGGGTTTATTGGGTAATTTTCTGGTCGCCTCTGTTACAGGCTTACCGCCTTGTATGGTTAGAATCGGAGTTGTCCGATTCCATTTGTAATGATTGTTCACGTGAAATTATTTGATAGCCAAGTTCGGGTGGGTTACGTAAGGCTCAGCATATCCTTAATCGCGTAGTTCATATACTCCTTTCGTTATACAGAATGTAAACTCCATTTTGGATTCACTTGTGCGAACAGCTAGCGTGACCAGTCCTTTTACAGCCTCTTGGTAGTCTCGTTTACAGAAGCGCATGATTAACTATGTTGAGATTATGAAAGACTTTTCTAAAAGAGGACAGTAAAATGAGCAGGAGAAAATCTCTACACAGAGCAGAGGTCCTTATTTTGCACCAAGACTGATAAATTTTCGAATGTGAGTAAACCCCCAAGTTTGACAGTGGCCATTCAACTGTTGGAGAGAATTATAATTAAATTCAACCCCCTACTGAGTCTATGATCATGAAGGATACTGTTATAGAGAAAGAATGGCACAGAAGATGGTGTTTTGTGATGAGTCGGGTTCGATAACTGTAGATGTAAGGTTCTTGGATAAACATGACATCCGTGAAAGTAGAAAATTCTTGATTGATTGGAGCTTCTTGTGCCGAGGCGCCTCTACTGATATTTAGAAAGAACTTTGTGAGTGACATAACTGTCATCTTTTGACTAAATTTGGGTGTTATAATGCTACTTTTCGCACATTTCTCTGTCTAGCCTCAACGTCCAAAATGGTGTACCAGTTCTAAGGCATAGCCAATATCGTCGTGGTTCCGTCTCGCGCATGTGCCAAATTTTTCCGATAGCAGGGATCAATGTTTCTTAATAACTTTTTTTCTAAAAACGTGATGCAACCGGCTGTTAAGTGCCTTCAATGACGATTTTCAGCCCTGTTATCTTGGAACACGCTCACCTTCACCTTGGTTATTTCTGGCATAAAAGCTTTGGGTGAAAGTTAACGGCTGGAAACATGATTGATACGGACGCCGAAGCAGTAAATGCAGCGAGGAGTGCAAATTTGCTCAGCGGAGGAATTAGGAGGATACCTGCCGTTTACTGCTTAAGTTTTCTGGGAGGATCCACGAATATGGCATATTGGTGAAGACGGACAGGTGCGGAAATTGTGCCAAAGCTAGTGTTGCACTACTGAATGCCGCTGATGGAAATTGTGGTGATTTTTCGGCAACCCTAAAGGTAAATAAGCGTGCGGGAGCCGACGGCGTGATACGGGACAAGTGCACGAACCATGTCGTAGATGAGGAGTGTGGATTAGCCTCGCAGTCACGAGTGTGATGTTTAGCCGCAGTGAGTACATCACATAATGCTGTAGGGGTGACACGTTGGAGACAATAATGCAAGTCATTATTGATCGTCATATAAGTTCAGGGGATATACTATATTCTGCAAAACATCTGTGGCGTGGCATTTTCCATCGTGGCTTGGCCGGAGAAACCAATAAATGTTACCTTCTCTTTGATCATTGATATGTCCCCACCTTTGGAGCATAATGCGAAGTCAGTCTCTGTAGATTTTGCATATGAGAGAAGTTGGCGATCAGCACTAACATTGGGTTCGAGGTGTATTTGAATCTAAGACGCCAAGTGATTGCTAGTCTGGCTTTTACGGCTAGGCAAAGTGACAAGCGGTCATGTGTCCGATATTAATGAGAAGAACTCCAGGTCTCGGCGGATCCGAAGCAATCTGTTCTTGTGTATTGCGAAGAATTTGGTTCGGTCTGCCACAACGAGCTGCTTTGGCATATTCAGAGATGGAAGCAATAGTGTTGCGGCCTGGCATATCGTTGGGTTCTGAGACTATAGCGATAGAAGTTATGGAGATTGAATCATCACTAATTCAAACCTTAAAAGGACGCGCAGAGACTCGAGCGAGATCTGTGTAGAATACGTGAAGAGAGTATTCATGTTTTAATGAAAGAGAGGCGCGCTTGAGCCCGGCAAAATGAAGTTCTAGAAATATTGCGATGCCACCAGAGGTCCTCAGGTTCTTTAGCACGGGTAGTAACGGTAGTAAAGCTTCTCAACGGAGCAACCTCTACAGGACTGGAAGAGCCGTAAGAAGTAAAAGGATCAGCCTGAGATTCGACATATGGAAGCCTACGTTCATCATAATCAAGAGTTACAATTTCGGGGTAGTGCTGCTGACTTGGACTGGGAGAGTTCCAGTATTAATCAGGTGAATAGAGATCGCTGTTTCCGGCAGGCAAATGGCCCATCTGAGTTTCCCTCATTTAAGGGATGGCCAAATGCGAGGCCCGGCTTGGTTGAATCTGTACCAATCTTTTTATGAATTTAAGTAGCTTCTTCCACGGTTTAAAATTATGGAGGGTATAGGTAGATTTTTGACCGCTGGGGTTCCCAATAAGAGTTAGACTGAGTTTGCGATAGATAAGGAGTGATCTACTGAGCTCTGTAGCGAAGAACTTGTAACGATTGTCTCCAAAGTCAAAAAAGTCATCTAACATGTGTACAAGGCATGGATTCGTTGTCTTTATTTAATAGATGCACTCATGATGAATTTTTTGAAAATTAGACTCTAATGCGACTATCCATTGTAAAGACGGACGTGTTACTGTCGCCGGGGACGTTGACTCGGAAAAGGATGGCAATTTAATGGTCCGCTGCCACCGACCAGCGCGCTTGGCTTATAACTCCGTTCCTCTTATTAAATTCCTCCTGATAGTTCCGGATGCTACAGTATTGAGTCGTAGAATTGGACTTAGGCTCTAGAGGTCAGCGGCGAGAAGGGTCTCCCACCTCGAATCAGGCCACGTTATTTGTTGTAGGGGGTCTGAGATTGGGTACTTAGTTCTCTAACCATGTATGACTACATATCTCATGCCAATATTTATATCCTCTTTTCTCGAATTACAGACATCAACTCGTGCCGAAAGGCCTCTCATCAGCTACATCTACTAACTCGACACTGATCTATTTTGCACAATGGTGTACAGGACTATCGCTATCAAAGGAAAACCTCGATCTTACTGAATGTGCCCAAGTTTAAATTTGTATTAGTCTATGCGCTGCGGCAATCTCGAGTGATATTATCCTGCCCATTTTCCTTTTCGTACAGCTGAGTCTTTGATGTGACTTCTTTCCGGAGCGGTGCCTCACAAATGTATTAACTCCGGATCAACGCCGTACGCACAGTTGTTTGACCCAAATTGCAGTAAAAAGTAACCAGTATCGACCGCAAAATTTCCCCAACTCCCTGCCCTACCCTAGAATAACAAACCATGAACGCCTTTGATGCCCATTTCCCTTCCTCCAGAGCAAAGCAAGTGAATCAAGCATGGATATTCAAAGATTAAAGCAGAATCAAGTAATTCGAAGGAGCGATGCCAATATCGCCGGTATTTTTCCGGGCTTGCCACCATCTCCCGCTTACATCTGAAACTTCCATGATTTCGTGTTTGGTGAAAGAAATTTCATTAGCGTCCTCTGGGTTGGCTTCGTAGGAGTAAATGGCCTTAGCTCGGTATGGGTATTCGGTGGGCGCGGCTACCTCGGCCGGCACGGGCTCACTTGAGAGCTGGTTATTGGCGATAAGATTACTACTAGATTGCGGAGGGTTGCTCCCAAAGCGGGCTTGGGAGGAATTCTGATCAGCGACGGACAAGCTGCCCGAGTAAGGTGGCATAGGTGACGATGTTTCTAGTCCACCCAGCTGCGCAGACGTGTACATTTGCGGGAGGGCGCTAGAGGATATAGATGTATCGGGTCGACCGTTGGTATATCCACTGGCATTGACATTTCCCATTCCCCTCACGCTCTGTGAGGCTCGGTGGTCTTTGTGTAGAGCAAAAGAGTCGAGGTAAGCACGGGGGACGGCGGAAGGCGTCGATCCAAAATAAAATATCCATACAATCTGTGTCATCAGCGTTTGGGAGCAAGAGCTGCCGAACAGAGTCTTGAGACTTACATTGACCATGGATAGCAGAATATGGCCAGCGGCCACGGCTTCCTTCGCCCCGTTTGAGGAGTAGATGAGGGAGTTGACCGAGGAGCTAGTGAGGACCAAGCCGCAAGCTAGGAAGCCGACAATGGCAATGTGATATGTCTGAATCATATCCGAGGCGACAACCAAGAAGACGCCGACGATGCAGCAGAACATGTATGCGATGGCAAACCACGAGTAGTTGGGAAAGAGTGGACTGGACTTTTCGGCCGTCGCGATGACAGAACCGACCAAGGCAATGAGCCAGGCAAGCTGTAGGCATGGTAGTCAGCAAAAGCTCAGAAACAGGAGGGGGTGTTGAAGCTGATGATAACTTCTGGCCAGAGCTTTGGGACCACGTACCAGGGCAATAGACACGGTGGCAAGTGCAAATGGATCTCCCAAAATGTTGTCGATGCTGATGGAGCGGATTCCCCCATTCCGTCTGATTTTGCTGTCCGTTCCGCCGTTCATTTTGCGGAGAGAGGGCGAGTGAAGAGAACCGTAAGATGGCATAGGCGTGTCCAAGGCGCCTGGAAGAATTAATTAAGCAGAGGGACACACGCGCAATCCTAGCGGGTGTGAATAAGAAAAAGGGAGGACTGAAGGCGCCAAATGCGAGACCGGGGGGGCGACAGAATTTATCGAGCCCAACACAGGGCCAATCTTCGGGGGGAGGGGAAAGGGGGTCCGGAAGGAATGCACAGAGTCGGGCGTGGGCACTGAGAGAAGGTTTGCCGTCGCAAATACAGCGGGCCTTGGCACGGCTCTAATGAAGAACGAAAGGACTGGAGAGGAAGAGCGGGCGGGACGGAAGGCTCATGATTGAGGATGCGAGAGGACGGAGATGGACTGCCGATGGCGATTCTTTAATCGAGATAGGGAGCGGGCGCACGCTGTCAGGGGGGACGGTCTAGGGGAATGAGCCAAGTGAACGGTCGGGGGGTAGAGGATTCTCAGTGGGCGTCACAGTGTGGTAGTGTTGGCCCCGGCTTGAACGGCGCTGTCGTCGACGCATTCACGACAGGAGGGAGGCTCGTCGCACGCTGCTCCGAATCATGCCCCCTAGCCAGACTGTTGCGGAGGACCCTCGCTATCTGCTGGCAGTCAGTGCATGCTTGTCGGCGTCTTCTAGCCAAATTTGTCTCAGCCCTCTTCCTCAACAGTGGGTCTGTCATTTAGTCCTACTTGGCGTATGTTGCCCGAGAGCCTGAGGCCATCAGTGTCACCAGGGCAGGTTATGGGCTCTCACAGAAGACGTGGCCTGATTACCGTCTCCTATGCTGTGGCCGTCCACCCATCGGCCGAGAAGGCGACGCCGACCCTGAAAACGCTGCCCCAGCCCCCAAAGCTAGGACTACCTTTCTTAGGGATTTACCCATGAAGGTGGTAGTGAAGGGAGTTTAGAAAGATATTCCATAGTTGACACACCCGTTTGAGCCCCAGACTCCATGACTAGTGCCAACAGCCAGTGGTTGGGTCCAGCTCCGCAGTGTCCGAGGCATGACTAATCTTTCAAAGGTATTCGCATTGCTTCCGAGCTATTCTACTTCGGCAACTAAAAAAGAGGCATGCCTCATATCCTCTGCACGACTGACACCAGAAAATCATCCACAGACTAAGTCGGTATTACCCTCACAAGCTTACTACCCTGTCTATTCTTTCACCTTTTCCCGTGCCGCTATTTTGCGCTCGACTCGCTTAATCCTCGTTTCCATCGTAGCCCACGCGTCGCCCAGGTGTAAAACGTTCTTTGTATACTCCATCTCCACCAATAAAGCGCTTCTCTCTCTCAAATGCAAGAGCTCGAGATACTGGCTGACTTGGATCGCTTCGATTCGTGAAATGCGAGGCTGTAGCTCAATTAACTGCGCCGAGAGATCGGCCGAAGGAACAGGTATGTCCGCCATACTAGTCAATCGCGAGGCGACAGTTGAATATAAACTCGCAGATGAGACTACGATGGAGAGGATGGTGGCTGTGTCCAAATTGATCGACGCTCCGTCAGCGGTGGGCGCGTGAAAGAGGTCCGGGTATTTCTCATCTGCCTGAGTTTAGAGATTGTATAGGGAGCGACTGTACATCTTACGCAATTCAAGCATATTTCGAAGGGTATCGGAGGACGACGTGAGCTGTGCGAGAGACTGTTCCAGTATCGATAACTGTTCGGCGGCGGATGCTTTGTTGCTTTCGGCGGATGCCTCCTCATCTACATGCCCTAGGATAGCATACTCGATTCGCCGGAGACGCGCTTCCAGCAAACTGAGCGATTCTAACGCGATTGAATCAAAGGCGCTGGACATTTCATGTTCAATAACAAGATAGTTTGGCGTCAGCTGTTGAGCGACGTTGCCCTAGTAGCACTATGACCCCCATGATCCGAATAAATCGCCACTAATCGCATGCCAGGCAAAGGTGGCGTGGAAGCTAGGCAAATATTAGCTAGCTATTCGTAGCGGATCTGAGCTATTTCAGCCGTCTATCTATTCCAAAGAACTGCGGAGGGCAACGTCCAGTTTATGACCAGGCAGCCGTAATCAGTTGTCCGAAAGACGTCTTTCGGACAACTGCTCTGGAAGCCATGGCTAAACAGGCTTACCAAAGGTGCAACGCATCGTGCCCTACCTATAGCTCAGCTAACGTTAGTCAGCCAGAACTTTCTATTGAAAGGCGCAAGTAACTTGTAAATTAAATGACAAAACATCTTTAACCAAACGAGACAATCCGATTTCTTCTAAGCACATCTCAAAATCTTCCGCTAATCATCAAAACCTACAATACCAAGCAACATCACACACAATGGGCTCTTGACCTTCACTGATTCTGATTTCGTTGCAGCTGAAGAATCTCTCAGGTAATGCTCTAGCAAAATTTCTTACCTACGTGGTCACATCATTCCCTCGATTAATCCCGAAGCTGTTGCCATGTTTTCGGCCCAAGTATGTCTTTAGCTTACCACACAGTTATAAACATTCTTCTCATAAACTAAACGCATCCAGATAAGGCTGACTTCGTGCTACAACCGACCCTTGGGCCGTCCACAACGTGAGGCAGGACTGGACTCAACCTCCCGGAGGCAGACATTATATTTATCCGGATTCGGCAAAAGTCTTACTTCGTGGGGAAAGTATTGAACGAGCCAAAAAAGTGTATCAACCCAGTATTCTACAGCAATATGAGAGATCGTTGGATATCACAGGGGGCTTCGTCCCTGAGCTGTATTATTAACCTGATGAATACAAGTGAGCACCCACCTAAGTTGATTGTCCTGATTCTAACAAACCCTTCAGTCGTGGGCTCAGGCATGCTCGCATTTCCTCATGCATTATCGCAGATGGGTATCGTACTCGGCATCATTGTAATCCTATGGTCAGGATTAACGGCAGCATTTGGATTATATCTACAGACTCGATGCGCTCGATATCTAGAACGAGGAGGAGCCTCGTTCTTTGCGCTCTCGCAGATCACCTATCCCAACGCCGCAGTTCTGTTCGATGCAGCTATAGCCATCAAGTGCTTTGGTGTCGGTGTGAGCTACCTCATTATTATTGGTGACCTGATGCCCGGCGTCATCAGAGGTCTAGGAGAGAGCTCAGATGCCTCGCTGTACTTAGTCGACAGACAATTTTGGATCACGGCATTTATGTACCTGCCCCGAGTCTTCTTATTTCTTAAGCTAATTCTCTCTAGGCTTGTCGTCACTCCATTGGCATTCCTCCGTCGATTAGACTCTCTCAAATACACGAGTATAGTTGCTCTAGTTTCTATCGGTTATCTCTTCATATTAGTCGTATATCACTTTACCAAGGGAGATACCATGGCCGGGCGGGGTGAAATAAGAGTGGTCAAATGGGCAGGCCTTATTCCCACCTTGGAGAGCTTTCCCGTCGTAGTCTTTGCCTACACTTGCCACCAAAACGTATTGGCATTCTTCTATAATACTGCTCTACTCCGTGGCTAACGTATCCCTCAGATGTTCTCTATATTGAATGAGATTCGCAATAACTCTTTGAAAAGGTTGGTCATGTCCGTTTCGTTCTAGCCCTCTTTAATTTTTTCACGAAATAGTACAACTTCAATCATAACCATCAGTATTGGCTCGGCGAGCGTATTATATACCATTGTCGCCATTACAGGCTACCTCTCATTTGGAAACCAGGTCTTGGGAAATATTGTGGGGATGTGTAAGCATGCTACCCAGTAACATAAAAATCCTTTGCTCACTTCTAAAACAGATGTCCCATCTATCGCCTCCACTATAGGCAAAGCAGCTATTGTAATTCTTAGTGTCTTCTCATATCCTCTACAAGTTCACCCCTGTAGAGCATCAGTCGATGCGGTAATTAAATGGCGGCCGGCAAACTGGAGCTTGGCTCGAAATCCTATCAATGCATTGCCATCACGATCCATGCCTCTCTTGGCAAGCCCGAGTCGGACGTCAGTTCGCAGTGATTCTATAACTGAACTCCGATTTGCTTTCATCACCACTGTCATAATTATCCTCAGTTACACTGTAGCCATGATGGTCTCATCTTTTGATAAGGTCCTTGCTTATGTGGGGAGCACAGGGAGCACCAGCATCAGTTTCATTCTACCCGGCCTGTTCTACTATAAAATATCCTCACCTGAATCCGCTCACCACCAGAGGCTCCAGAAGGAAGATAATGACGATGATGATAGTGAGTCAGAGACAGGTACTGCGAGAACACGAAGATCACGCTCCAACTCGCAGAATTCAACAATGTTAAGAAAGTTATCTCTTGCGCTTGCTTTTTACGGAGTCATAGTCATGGGCGTTTGTTTAGGCACCAATTTATTTGCAGGTTCCGCGCATTAATAATAATTTCTTTACATCTTTTAATATCTAAAATAATGCTACTGTAATGTCGGTTGATCTTGGGAGTGACGCGTGCAAAAAACGAATTATCCGTGTTTCCTCATCAGTGCACTTGTAAATAGTTGGGAAGCCGTAGGGTAGACATGAAATCAATGTGGTAGGGAATATTTCAGGAATTATCCTGGGGATGTTGCTTTATATAATACGAGCGGACCTACTTTGGCACTGTCAACGTTTTTTGGTTAATCAAACTTCTACCAGCCGTCTCCAAGTAATAAAGAAGCTCCATATATTTTTCTCCTTGACGAGGTTAAGTTGGACCTAATCATTGGCCTGATGCAAAGTTCTGGGTTACTTTTTCTTTTAGATGTGAGGAACTTAAGTTGTAAGCCGCAGTACACTTTATATTAGCCTTTATTCTTTGATGATCTCATCAGTGTATCCATCTGAAGCGACGCACTGTATCTAGATAGACTAGACTCGCGACAGCTTCTTCTGTCTAGCATATATACTTTGGAATGATTTACGGTTGCAGACCTCTAAGCACGATCTGAGGGGCGGAATTTGGGCTGCATGAGGCCAGCCTGGGATGAGTTAGATATGGCTCTACAGAGTCGCGGTAGGCTACCAACCATAGAAAGCAGACGCCACACTGGATCACTAGGCTGGGCGCCGACACCGAGCCAGTACTGGGCGCGGGCTGAGTCAAGTTTAACATCTTTGAAGCGGGCATCGCTGCCATACGGCGTCGTCTTGAGCAGAGGGTCGTAAGTGCCTATTCATGTCATGGCGGGGTTAGTAGACATGCAATACAGGCGGTGCCCTATCCGTACACACACCCCAACACTTACCGAGAACTTCTAGCGGTTTGCTGTTGCGGGCCGAGCTAAGCGCGACGACGACGGTCAGCGAGAATAGTCGGGCGGCCTGATGAGGAGCCGGACACGATCACGTACCGAGCTTGTGCAACCACAATATTGTATATGGGATTGCGACGGCGACCGAAGCGCGCGAGACGGATGCGTAGAACCATGCTGATCAATAGCAGCGACTGCGAATATGGCGAAGAATGTAAGCAGAATTAAGCTCCTGTACGTGACGAAGTGTGCTAGCACGTGTCGGCAACTTAATCCGCTAAGCCACGACGGTTAAACTATCTTCCGGAAAGTTAGTGTCAGGAAATGCTGCTTAGTCAGCTAGTTGGTCAAGTGAAAGGTGTCCACATCATTAGTACATAACACCTTTATCACTACACACCCTTAGTCCTACATCTATACAATTCCTCACATATCGTATATTATTATCTGCATTATCTTACTCCCGTGACTATACTTTCTCAATATCCCAACAGTTAGTTGCAGTGGATGTAAACACGTGAATACGGAGTGTACGCCACGAGGACTGAGGACAGAAGGATGAACAATTGTCAGCGGCATCCCATACGAAACTAAACGCAAAATATTCCTCTAAAGCCAAGATTTACTCATGTCAAAGGTTATTATTAAGGATTTCCGACTAGATAGTGACATCAACAGAAAATTTAATAAAAGCTACAATAAAAGAATAACGGTTGAAGCCTCTTTGAACAGATGAGAGAGGACTCCAACTACAAAGACGATCTTACCAAAGATGAGGAATTGCTGGGACGATGTGAATCTTTGAGTGGAAGGGAAAGGAATGTATAGAAACGGGGAGACGTTAATTGTTCGGGCGCGTGTTGGTCTAGTCTGAGGAAAAATTTGCGCTTCGACGCCTCAAATCCGGGTTCTCTGGAAGGTCGGACTTAATATGTCAAACATATGGGTGAAGCCTGAGATGGTCAGGTCATCAGGGCGGGACGAAGCCCATTTACTGAATGGTAGATAATCTGATCGAGCTCGGCCTCACTTATGCTCAAGCTTACATACGAGTACGTAGGTTGCCAATTTCCAAGCACGTCAATGCACAAAGAGTATATTTCCAAACAAGAGCAGGCACAGGGCAACCCCTTTCTTACCTTGAAAACATGGGAAGAAGCGACACTCATCAATGTAATTTTTATACCAAATTTGTTCATCTAATGTATGTCATATATTTCACTAGCCAGCTTTCAAGCAGCAGAGACATAAAGGGCTTTAAAGCATCTCACCACTCAAATTTCCCATCCTAATGAGTATCTTGGCATGGAAACACGCCCTCTTAGGATGAATGTGGACAACCAAATGACTAAAAAGGAAGAAATGAGGTGATGGATAAAAACAAATAGCCTGATTAGAATTAAAGGTAAAAATATGAATAATACTGGGTGGACTTTTATCTCAGCCAAACTAGAAACTTTAATTATTTGGATTTGGTGAGTGGAGATTTGAATTTTGTTCTTTAGCCTATTCAGGTACCCTATGGGCCCATGCAGGTATATCTAGCTACAACATCTACACAGGAAGAAACCAATTTGGTAAAAACCCCCAAAACTGTCTGTCTCACGTCTACTTTTTGTCTGAGGTTTCCTATAGGAAGTGCATTTACACTGTTCATACAGTGTAAATTCCGTCCTATTCTTGTCCACATCTTCTTATCATTTCGTTCAATACAATCTCTACTTCTCATGCGAGACGGAACTGTTAAAACCAGCCTTTTGCTAGGATCTATTTTGTAATTCTCACCATTTAATCTGGGCTATTCATCATTGACGCAAAGGGCCTATCTCTTACCTTGAGGAGCACCTCTCCTTTTCGTCTTGCCCACTGAGGACACGCCACGACTATATGTTAGATGTTCTGAGACGGATATCCACACTGAAATTTTGGATTAATCACTCCGGGGAAGTGAAGTGGATAGTAATATTCGGTTAATTTGTATGGTTTAATGTGCTACTTAAGTCTGCCACTATGTTGCACATTGGGCTCCTCCCTCACCCAGGCCACACCTTGTACAGCGCTCCTATCTTCTTTGGTTTCTTTAAAGATCTCTGGTATATTTACATGGGGTTAATTAATGGCCTAAATATCTGGAGAGATTTTATACTTGTTACTAGATACTGTCATAGCTAGATAGACCCCATGTACCTAATGATGTTAAAAAGTGACATAAACAGAAATTCAAGAAGTACCAATCCACCTGATAATTGTCTCAGCTATCGATCGCTAATCGATTCCCAACAATCATTTTCTGGCGAGGTGATTCCCGATACAACTCAAGGCTGCAGTCCCCCCCGCTTTCTTTTCTGCTACAATTTGGGTTGAATCCAGCTGAGAGCTACGATACACTATCAGTGATTCCTGTTCTTGTGAAATGAATCTCTAAAATTTAGGCTACTAGTATTCTCCATATAATTCGCGAATAATCCTATAAATTGTTTTCGCTCCCAATGAACATTTGAGTCTCCTTAAATACACACCAACTGGAGTATTCAAATCCTTGTGTTATCTAAGAAATCCTACGTGATTCTATGCACGAGCAACATGGTAAATGGGGTCGAGCCTTAATGAACTTGACCTAGCAACATCCTATTTCTAATTGGGTAGATGTCCAAGCTATCTAGGCTCTACATGGTAGATCACCCGGATGTTGTACCACTGCGCCATCCAACTTTGACTGAGTTAATAATGTCGCTTGCTCTCTCACATACTTGATCTTGTCGTGCACAATACTCTTTAATGCGAAACCTCACTGCCAATATTAGCAATGTTACTTCTATCCAGATCATACTCGTACTCAATATGATCTACTGTACCTGTTTTGCTATATTTCACATTCACCCCAAAGATCTGTCTCCTCAGGTCCAAGAATTAATATCTATAAACACTAGCAGGTATTCAAATTATTATGGGTGTATATTTGAAGACCAGCGATGAGGTCAATGTGAAGTATTTTTCTTGGAATAAGAATGTATGTTGTTCAATTTACACTCTCAATGATTATTATTTCGGAATCGATATCGTTAGAAGAGATAGATTAGGTTAAAAGGGATTCTTAAATCATAACCTCGTAGGCCGAATTCATCTGTATAGAGCGATATTATTTAATTGTCTCGAGGAGAATAACTCAGACTCAGTTCGTAGAGGATGTTGCCAAGAAATGTTCAATTTTTAATTTCCTTCCTTTTTCCCTTGTTGCCATGTCTTAGCCCGCTGTGGCATCAAAGATCTACTTGTTTGTTGTTGGGAATTTTGGAATACGTGACAAAAAAAAAGCTTTCAGTGCTCAATCTTTTTCCCTCGCATGGATTATAAACTTTGAGTAATTGAAGCCCACCATAGTTATTAACACCGGAAGTTCTAGACCGAGGTGTCCATACTACCGTTGTAGGCTGACGTCATTTTTATGGACAGCCCCAGCCCATCAGCCCACTTGAATTTGACACTCACAACGACGCCGTCCTTATTCCCTGCCTGTAACTTCTCGTAAGCCTAATTCTCGAACAATGAGGTCGTTTATTACCTCCAAAAATGCTGCTGCCCTTGATAGAGATCTCATGAGCATTGCCGGATTTTCCCTCGGTCAGCTCATGGAATTAGCTGGGCTCTCCGTATCACAAGCTATCCACCGAGTTCACCCGCTAGGATTGGGTCCGAGAATCTTAGTTATTTGTGGACCAGGCAATAATGGTCAGTAAAATTTTCGTATTTCTTTCGCTCTGTATATATACTAAGTCTCAGCCAGGAGGCGATGGACTCGTAGCGGCAAGGCATCTGTGGCACTATGGTTATAGACCAACTGTTTACTACCCAAAACCCAACAAGAACGATCTTTTTCAGGTATGAGCATTAACTTATTTAGAGCTAGCTAATAATCTTGGAGAGCCTATCGAAGCAGCTTGAACACCTAAATATACCTTTTGCTGATGATTTAGCCAAAGCCCTAAATGAGTCTGATCATATCGTTGACGCCATCTTTGGTAATATTACAAACAGCAATTTGTCAATTTTCATCTTTAGTCTCTTCTAACATCTATATAGGCTTCTCATTTGCCGGGGAGATTCGCGAGCCATTTCCTTCAATTATCAAGGCACTTCAAGAAACCACGGTTCCAATAACTTCTGTAGATGTTCCGTCATCTTGGGATGTTGAAAACGGGCCGCCTGTATCCGGCTTAGGTTCAACATTTAAGCCTACATCTCTCGTGAGCTTGTGAGTTAAATTTTCATGATCCCAATGTTTCTTGTGGCAAATGAGGTGACTGATTTTTAAACTTAAGGACTGCCCCTAAACCCCTAGTTACTTATTTCAAGGGTAGACATTTTGTCGGGGGACGGTAAGAAAGAGATTAAATTCAAGATGATTTTCTGCTAATGGAAAGATTGTAGGTTCTTGAGCCCTCAGCTTCAAGACAAATATGGTTTGGTTGCTTATCAGTTTGAGGGAACTGATCAGATTATTGAGATTGAGAACGGGGTAGAGACGTAGTTGACGTTTGAATTTGTCAAATTAACTTTACCATGAGCCTATCTCTTACATCGGCTATGTTCTAAGGGTGCCATAGAAGCACAAGCCTATATCATTTTCGAATATGAATCATTGGTCATATAATAAAGGATCTCCATTCAGTTTAGATACTGCTCTACCATTCATTAGTATTTGTCTCTATTTGATCATGATTAAAATTACCTCTGCGAACAAGACTAGTTTTGTTCCTGCTTTACAAATGTCCTTGAAAGTGTTAGTCATCGTCATTAGTACAATATAAAACCTACTCCTTCCTTATGAACCAACTTTGTAATAATACCTTTCTGCGGAGAACGGATGACAGTCTCCATCCTGTGAATATCTTTTAGAAAATGTTCCAAAAATATATCTCAACCTTAAACCTACTTCATGCTCTCAATACTAGAGTCATGATTAGTAAGTTTAGTATTGATTTGGGTACCTAGACTTACACAACCAATGGTTGGTTTTTTTCGACCAGATCTCCCTCCTTAACTTCGACTCGTAAAATTTTACATGGTATTGGAGCAAACACATTATTGAGCAAATCTTCGAAGCCCATTACTTTATTTACCCAAACTGGTGGAATAATTTCTATACGATTTTGTTTGCCATGTTGATATACATGAACAACATCTTTGTCTTGGATTACTGTACTATCAATACGTGTATGCGTAAAGAATGAAGTTAGGGTCGATAATTTTCCAGGCTCGCACGTGACATTTTCGAAAAGCTTCACTGAATTTTTGAAAATAACTTCAACCCTAAAACAATGACGAGCAGAGGGTGTGACAAAAACGCTGACAGTTTCATCTATGTCCGAAAGCGAACTGAACTTAAACTGGCGTTGAATAGCCCCGCAAAATCCAATGGTAGACCCGCCTGGTAGACCCTCGTTACCTAAAGGGGATTTTATCATTAGTCCAAGTGCAGCTTGGGCAAAAATTTCCGGGACATGGTCCTCTGATGCGAAAAGTTCTTGATGATGTTTTTGTATATAACCTGTGTCAAAAATTCCTTGTAAAAAATCGTTACTCTTGCAGACATTTTTGAGAAACTCAATATTTGTCTGTACTCCGACTACTTCATACTCTTGTAAGGCAGTGTGTAACTTTCGTATGGCCATACCCCGATCTAAGCCAGTGACGATAAGTTTCGCTATCATTCCGTCATAATCAGGGGTGATAGTGTCACCTTGAATAAATCCAGCATCAACTCGTACACTATCAGACAATTTGGGCACCTTCAAGTATGTGAGTTTTCCAGAAGCAGGCATAAAGTTTCGCATGGGATCTTCAGCATATATTCGGGCTTCTAAAGCCCAACCACGGCTCATTATTCTTTGGTTAATCTCATCTTGACTAAGCGGTAAGGGTTGACCAGCGGCCACTTCAAACTGCCAATGGACGAGATCTTCACCTGTTAGTGCTTCAGTAACTGGATGTTCGACCTGTAATCTAGTGTTCATCTCCATGAAGAAAAAATTTTGGGAATCATTATCGTAGATAACTATCCTGAGTATTAGCATCGGTGCCATGTAGAGGGATCAAACTGCAATACACTCTACTGTACCAGCTCCTTCATAGGCTACTGCCAAAGCAGCAGCATGTGCCTTTTGCCACAGCCCCTGCCTTACATGTTTTGGGAGATTGGGGGCAGGTGATTCTTCAATAATTTTTTGGTGCCGTCTTTGCAAGCTACAATCTCGTTCACCCATAGTAACTACATTTCCATGGCTATCCTTTGGTCTCTTAGCACGATAAACTAGTAATCAGTTGGATAGCTCACCCCAAATATCTGAACTTCGATATGTCGTGGATTTGCTATAAATTTCTCGATGAGCATTACATCATCACCGAAGGAGCTTATCCCTTCTCTCTTGGCACTCTCAAGTTTGTCAAGAAACTCGGCCTTGTTCTCAGCAATTCTCATTCCTTTTCCACCGCCGCCCTTCACTGCCTTGATCATGACGGGAAATCCAATTTTAACTGCCTCTTCAAGAAGGACTTTGGGTGTTTGATTTGCTCCATGATAACCAGGTATACAGGGGACATTCGCTTCAGTCATGATAATTTTGCTCTGCGATTTGTTTCCCATTGACTGTATCGCTTTCCAAGAGGGTCCAATGAATAATAGGCCCTCTTCCATGCACCTTCGGGCAAAATCTGCATTTTCACTTAAGAAGCCATAGCCAGGATGAAGTGCATCACAGTTCTGTTGTTTTGCTATTGCTATAATCTTTTCTCCATCGAGGTAGCCTGAAGGACTCCCCAAGTTGGCAGCAAAGGGACTAGACAGGGCATGTTGAGATTTTGCATCGAGATCCGTATATACCGTGGAGCAACGAATTCCAAGGCGAGAAGCAGTTCGCCCAACCCTGAGAGCGATCTCTCCCCTATTTGCAATGAGGACGGATTTAATTGTTCTATTATTGGTAGTTTTGACACAAGGATGTAGCGCATTGAGGACTTGATTAAGAGCCTTGTTTCTTCGAAGTGCCATTTTTATGGATCAATCACTTTTGTTCCACACATTCATTTTGAAGGAATGTGCCAGCAGCTAGAAGAATTTGAAGGGGTTTCAAGTCTGATGAGGCTGAGCGAATGCCATCATGTAACCCGTTAGATATACTGCTCAGCGCTGAAAGCCGCATCTAAGCGATAGCTGCCCACAGCACGGGGCCACGTGCCATGACGTTTGTTAAAAAAAATCATGGAAACTAGTCTTGCCACCGAAATTCTATCAAGCTGGGGCAACCGGTTGTTCATCAACGAACACCAGCCTTGAAGGTGACTACATAGACGTATGTGATCCATATCATAGCTTGAGTCGTAGGATCCAATATTAACGTGTGATTTTTTTAATTTGCCGCAAGTTTGTCCCCATTAGTTTGAGACTAGATTATGTTTGTAGGTACATTGTGCGAAAAAATTTGAGAGTAGTCGTCCATCAGTAGCCAGCTCATGCGTGTTCTTCACTGCCTCAATGAAGCGTCGTAATGGAATGTATATTTAGTTAGCTTACTATCTAATTGCTTATTGGCCAGTTTCTTGAATACCATGGTCACATGTCCCAACTAGCTCAAATGCTCGTGGCTCACGATCTGACGCGCCTTGATGTGCCATGACGGAGAATTCGCATAAATATTTACGGGGATAGGGCAACCGGATTAATTTGAAGCCGAGGTAGAATTCAAAATTTCCGATTGTTACAATTGGTGCGATACTTACCAAACGAACATTATGGGAAAAAAAAGGAAGATACAGACTCGAGAGGCTGACTCAAGATCCAGTAACGGAAAAACGGCTACAGATGGAAGGATTTATAATCTTACCAGCTTTAAAGACGTAGCAGACTCTGAGGATGAATTTCACATTAATCGCGATAAAATACTGCTTGATGAAGGCCCTGGCACAAAAAGAGCTAAATGGAACGAGGGTACTATAGCTTTCAAATTAATCGTGGGTAAAAAGTAGCTAACGGAAATACCAGACTCTGATTTAGAACTTTCAGATCACGAAATTTTAGCATACTCAGACAGTGATAAAGACAATGATGAAGATGTGGCCAAACCAAAGAAAATTGGATCTAGAAGCAGCTCCGAAACAGAAGTCGATGAATTTGGTAAAGAGGATGATGAAGAAGAGACCGAGGGGTGGGGAGCTTCCAAACGCGATTACTATAATCATGATCAAATTGAGACAGAAGCCGATGCAATTGAGGAAGAAGCCGAGGCGAGGCGACTACAACAGAAAAAACTAGCCAAAATGACAGCAGCAGACTTTGGATTTGACGAGGGTGAATGGTTACACGATGATGATGAAGAAGAATCTGGAAAAGTTGTGACGGAAATAATAAAGGATGTCGAAATAACACCCGATATGCCAGCTGAAGAGCAGTTCCAAATTTTTATAACACGCTATCCTGAGTTCCAGGCTCTGGCGGACGAATTATTACATTTACATCCATTGTACAAGGAGCTGAGGAACCAAGTACAGCTGGAGGCCCACTCAGGAGCTTGTGTAATCTCTTCCAACTTGATAAAATGTCGAGCGCTTGCAGCATATATCTGCGCCATTTCAATGTACTTTGCGATGTTAACTTCACCAGCAAGAGACTATGTTGGCGAAGGCAAAACTCTTGATCCAACGGAACTCCATGACCATCCCGTCATGAACAGTTTACTAAAGTGCCGAAATGTGTGGCTACAAACCAAGGAAATGAAAATCAACATGGATACAAGCTCCGAGACACCAGAAGCAGCCATTCATAACTTAAGCTCCGACGAGAAGATAAAATTGCCGCGGGTGAATAAACTCAAGCCAAACAAAAAAAGCAAAAGAGAACATAAGCTTACGGAAACTACTGATGCTGTTGATGCTGTACAAAAGAATAAAATGCAAGCTATTGAAGAAGATCTCCAAGAACTTAGCCGATCGTTATCGAAATCAATTAAACATATGAAGAAAGACTCAAAAACAAGGCCTACAATTGTCCAGGATATTTCTGACGCATCGGACTTTGGAGAAGAGGACTCTTTGGATGCAAAATCAGCCATGTTAAAAGCACAAAAGAAAAAATCGCTCCGTTTCTACACGTCACAGATCGCTCAGAAGGCTAATAAACGTATGGCAGCCGGGCAAAATATGGGTGGCGATGAAGATGTCCCACATCGCGAAAGGTTACGTGATAGACAAGCACGCCTCAATGCAGAGGCCGAAAAGCGCGGTAAAACCCTTGATTCATACGGGCGTGGTGGTGTCATGCTAGATGGTCAGAGTGATACTGGAGATGAAGAAGTGGCCCAAAAAATCAGAGAGGAAGGAAATGAGTACTATGACATGATATCGCAGAAAACAAAACAAAAAAAGCTAGACAAGAAATTGCGCCTTGAAGCGATAGCTCAAGCAGAAGCTGAAGGGGGATTGGTACGTGTTGTCGAAGGAGAGATCGGAGATGACGGTAAAAGAGCGATTGGATATGTGATTGAAAAGAACAAGGGACTCGCACCCAAGCGGAAAAAAGATGTTCGCAATCCACGTGTGAAGAAGCGGAAGAAGTTTGAGGAGAAAAAGACGAAGCTCGCTAGCATGCGGGCTGTGTACAAAGGGGGAGAGGAAAGAGGTGGATACGGAGGAGAGAAGACGGGAATAAAGAGCGGACTGGTGAAGAGTATCAAACTGTAGTCAGTCTCACGAAAACACCAAGAGCTTGCCTCTTTTGATGAATAGTCTAATATATTGAAGCAAATTCGACTTGCGGACTTGATTTATTATCATAGACTTCTACTCTGATAATCTGGCTGTAAAGAGAAGCCCTCCCGCATTTAGAGCTAAATTGTAGGTCAAGGAGATTCTATTTGTTTGTTTTTGTATAACATCGCACCAGCTCACAACAAAATCCAGAAGTCCCGTGTTGGCAATTTAAGTCAATATAAGCTACCTGATGTGTCAGTGTTTTAAGCTGAGCCCGCCATGTAGTAAATGGACCGAGGCTATCTGCCCTGCGCCCGGAACCATTAAAAGACGTAAAAGATGCTCTCCGACAGCTACTTATCATTTCCAGAACTGTACAGAAGATATTTATCTATCTTGAAGGATAATTTTTAAGTCACCTAGGCTACCAACCTGAGCTCTATCAAGTTTCGGCCAGAGATTAGAAGGTTGAAGTGTTAAAGGCGAGGAGAATTACGGACACCGGAAGTAGATTAGATTAGATTTATAATATAGTCCTAACTGCGTCAATGACTATGGAGGACTCCTAGAATATATATATATATATATATATATAAGATACTAGCTACACCAGACGTAAATAATACCACAAGAAATTAGTATTTTCCCTAATAAATTTACCACAGGAATCAATATGGCATGACCCTCATCATCTATTGGCAAAAATTAAGCACAACAAAATACAAATTTACTATTAACTTTAATGCTATTTAGATAGTTTAAGCTGTCCTTCATATTTGTAGACTCTTTTTTTTTTTTTTTTTTGAATCATTTAATGTGTATTCAGCTATCTAGCTATGACACATGACCGGTGCTATGTATACATGTGGGATGACTCTTTTGACGTTAGAGACACTCATACTCTGGATTTCATTTGCAAATACCACTATGAGGTATGTTTGCTTACACAAACAGTCGACCCTCCTCCGTTAGTACCCACCAAAGGGAATTTAAAAACCTTTGATTATCCAAGCATGCCTTCGTCATCCATGCATACCAGCGCCGCGAGAAATGTGGTTGTGTTTTGCCGGATTCGAACCAGCGATCTACTGTCTCGAGTGGGATATGTGTCCAAGCTATCCAGACTCTACTTGGCAGACCGGCCAAGATGATGTACCACCGCACCATCCAACCATGGCAGTTTTTATAGTGTCGCCTGCACTCTCGCAGCCGAAGACTTGGCACGCACAAAGCTCAATTTGTAAAAACTCCTTTCCAAAACTCAAAATTCCACGCCCGTCGAGATTGTATCCAATCCTCTGCATCATCTTATTAACTTGTCCTGATCCCTCTCACATCCATCCCAAGGAATTGTCTTCCAGATTTGTGCGCCACGCTTTGCTTCCTCCGTCGGGTATAAATATCGGCGTGGGCGTGTATTTGGTGACCGGCTGGGGCCAGAGAAAGTCGACGAGTGGTGTGGTCATTGGAATAAGGATATACTAGGTCGTACTTGTAAACTTGATGAGTTTTAGGTAGGAATCGATTTCGTTGGGAGTGAAAGATTGATATGGTGGAGTAATTTGAATCATTGCCTCGTGGGCCAACTTGTTCGGTATTGCGAAGTTTGACTGAACTTGGCTCTGGGAGAATATTTCACTCCCAGGTTCGTAGAGGACACCGCGTACAGGTGTTCAGTCTTGCCCTCCTATTTGTAGACTCAGTAGGGACAGAAATAAAATTCTGTTCTATTCTATTCTACCATAGGAATCTGTTATATCAAATATACCCTCTGCAGTTACCAGTGATCTGTCTCCTAGCCTCGCCTAACCTCTCTGAGCGATTCAAGTCGTGGGAAACGACCCTGAGCCTAGTCACGTGATTATACCCTTGAGCGAGGCTGGGCCTGAAAGATAGGCCAGCCTAATCAAACAGGGCACAGCCTGTAACATGATGTGCTACCAAGTACGGCCATCGGATTGTCTCGAAAGAGCACGCATCACGAGTTCATTTTCCAGAGGTTATCGCCTCTACAGGAGAGCCTAAAATTCACAAAGTAAGAGACAATATCTTCCATAAACGCTGCGGTAACAGTGAGTTTATATGTGTGGAGTTTACGTTGGTTTGCTTGTTTGTTATCTAACGTCCAACGGACGCCAAGCCAAATCCTGAGCTCCCGTGTCATAATAAGTAGGCTATAAATGAGCAGGACGATGGATAATATTGGGAAATTTGTCCTCACATGAGGCCTCGTTAATTGCTATTGCGTGTACTCTCGTGATAGGTAATACTTGTATTTATATTATATAACTTCGCCGCAGCCTTCTCTGCGAGTTCTAGGTGTCTCCTTCGACCCCAAACTTCATTCAGGGGGCTATTCTCAACACTTGTCAACAGTGTCCCCTGCAAACCTTCAGCTCTCACTGTAGAGTCTGCAGAGCTGAGATTGAGAAAAAAGTCCTCACTTCGACGAGGATTCCCAATCGCTTTCGCGGTCTGTATCGTCTTTATCTCTCAACACATTCCCATATCAACATTATCATGAAGCTAACTACAATCAGATCAGATGGTAGGGTGAAATCTCTTCTCATCACCAACCCTTGATCATGGAGGAGAAGCTATCCGATGAGTTTCCGGAGCGAACCCAGCACCCGGCACGGCCATGGTGGATTGGATCAAGTTTTGTAACAGCTGTTAAGCCTGAAGATTCTTGTAGCCTACGCTGGCTAGCGCAAGCAATGACACCAAGGTAACCTTCGGGAAGCATATTGAATGTTCATAAGGAGGATAGGTGTATCGAGAAAATCCTAGGGAGTTGCCGAAGTTTCCTAAAAGTTCTGGTCACTGAGAAAATTTTACAGAAAGGGATTATCCTGGATTGTTTATATACTTGTAGTCCAGCCACAGGAATTCTATACCCAGAGAATTATAATTAATATATATTGTACCTACAAGACTTCCCATCTATTTTATAATGAAACTGTGAGAAGTTAGCCTCTTGTGTTACAAAGAAGGTAGATCTATATTAATATGCGCACCTCATTTGGTCACGATGTCTAGACCTCGCCTTGCTGGGGCTGCGGGTTTTATGAGACTTTTTCCCGCGCACGCAGTTACCACCGCTACCATGAAGACGAAGGCTGAATACCTGTCAGTGGTATACACTTCGAACCTGGGAGTGAAATATTCTCCCAGAGCCGAGATTCAGTCACGAAATAGGGTGAATCTGAGAGTTTCCGTCTAGTTGGCGATCGGGATGAGTGGTGTCGGCTCAGTTTTGGTCGAAAATCCGACTTGCAGAGATTCCACGATTGCACAACTCAACGAAATCAACCATCTATACCCCATATACGAACCGTAGACAGGCTATAACCTGTCTGATGATCGTAATATAACAACTGACACCTTCAGCATCTTATTTTGTTTTTCTCTAGAAATTAATTCTCAGCCAAACTCATCTCGCGGCCCTCTCCACAATCATATCACCACCTACCGAAGCAATCTCATCCCTCTAAAAGTCAAATAGTCAACAAAGAAGCAAGGGGATATCCGACCCTCTATAACTGCCAGTCGCTGTGAAGGTACGTTCGAATTACCGGCCTTAAATGCGTCCTCACCTCGGCCAAGGGCACCAACAACTCGACCTGCGACGAATCGATAACGACGAAATACGTACGACATTTCACCGGCACACCAACTAGAGCGTTCGACAAAGGCTGGGGCACCGGTGCACCGGTCTTGAGCTCTCAATCGCGTTTTAGACCTCCACGGTTAGGGGTACGGCAGCGACGGGGCAAGGCCGAAGGGGTGGACGTTCAACAAAGTTTCTAGGATGAGGAGATCGGCTGAAGGACAGAGGGATTATACATGAAGGAACAATAGGGAATACAAACTGAGGAGGCCTAGGTGGGCGACTGGATGAGATGAGCCAAAGCTAGGAATGAATTGAAGGGAAAAGTTACAGATGGCAAAGGTGTCAAGGGCTCGGGCGCGTGGTGGCCGAGGCTGAGGAGGAATTTTCGCTTCGGCGCGCCAAAAGGGTGTTCTCTGGAAGGTTGGGCTTGACATGATTCAACACATGGATGAAGTCTGAGGCGGTCCGGCCATCCAGGTGGTACGAATGAGATGTACTTTAATTTAGTTAACCTATTCCAGCCCGGCCCCACTCGTGCTCAAGCTCCAGTAGGAGTGCAACGGTAGTCACTTTACCTAGCACGTATATTAACAAACCAAAAAAGGCAAATATATTTACTGATAAACAAACAGGCAGCGTCAAAATGAGCTTCAAAGATACACCATAAAAAATCCACCGTAACCTGACCAGGGCCCAAAGCAGTGTCGCCATTCAGCTAAGGAGCGAGCATATCGGACTCAATTCTTACCTGAGCAGAAGAAAAGTACCCGGAGTAGAAAAGCCAAGCTGTCAATGTGGATATCCGTCGCAAAACGTCAAGCACTTGGTGTTAGCGTGTCCGCAGTGGGCAAATGGAAGAGGCGACTTTCTCCGACAAACTAAAGACAGGTCATTTGAAGCAATGATGAACAGCCCAGAAGACATGGCTAGAATCACACAGTGGATACTAAATAAAGGGTGGATAAAACAGTTTCGACTGGCAGGGGAAGTCGAGGTAGCAATGTCGGATAAAGTAAATAGATCTGGAAGGGGAGAGGACGGAATCCACACGGGCTGAACAGTGTACACTGCACTTCCTAAAGGTAAACCAAATGAATTGATAGGAATATAAATAGATAGGATCAGGGGGTTTTACCAAATTGGTTTCCTCCTTTGTAAATAATGAAGATAGTCATCTGCATGGACCCATAGGGTGCCTGATCGGGTTAATTGAAATCAAATTCAAACAAACCAAAAAACCACCGCTGCCATTTTTTTATTTTGGGTAGAAAGTTCCGTCGAGGAGGCTGCTGAATTCCACTGGTAAATACTAAGCTAAATTGCTATCTATCATGGACGATTTATCAAAGAAGCTAGGAGCACTATAAAAAAGTCGGATTGGGTGAGAGAGGAGCCAAAAATGCTAGATAAATAAAGACACTAGTACAACAAACACACAAAGAAATATCCAGAACATAAGCTGGAAGATCATCAATTAAATCTTAACGTTGTGGTTGGAAATGTTTGAAATGTACATGTGAGTTTGCAGTAGCTAGGTAGCAAAATATAGAGGAATACGCTACGATCTAGGGAAAATCACTGGAGAGCTAGGGTTTGGATGAAATCTTATATCCGTGAATCCTGTGGCTGGCGGCATCTGACATGCTCAACTCACCCTTAAAAAGTGAGTCTACATGATTAGAATCTATCGTTAGCACTTCCAACCGGGCCACGAGTACGGCAGTGAGCGGGTACTTCTCTTTCCACAATTGGATTCGATACTGATGTCGTGGATATAGAGTGCTAGCGCCTCCATGTGTTGGCTATGACTCAAGACGCCGCTCTTTAACTGGTTGCCCGGCATTCGTAATTTTTCCCAGACCATAAGTTCCGGCATTAGATGTGTGGTCAGGAGGGCAAGGCCGAACACCTGTACGCGGTGTTTTTTACGAACCTGGGAGTAAAATATTCTCCCAGAGCCAAGATTAGTCAAATTTCGCAATATCGAACGAGTTGCCCTTCGAGACAATGATTGAAAATACTTCATCATTACAATTTTCACTCCCAACGAAATCGATTCCTCACTAAGCCTCGTCAAGTCTACAAGTACGACCTGGTACATCCTCACTCCAGTGATCACACTTCTGGTCGACTTTCTCTGGCCTCATCTAGTCACCAAATACACGCCCACGCCGATATTTACACCCGACGGAGGAATCAAAGCGTGGCACACAACTCTGAGAGGCTGTTCTTTGGGATTGGCGTGAGAGGATCCAGGACAAGTTGATAAGATGATGCAGAAAATGGATACAGTTCCAACGAGCGTGAGATTTTGAAAATTGGCAAGGAGCCTATACAAATTGAGCTTTGTGCGTGCTAAGGCTTCGCTTGCGAGAGTGCGCATGACACTATAAACATCGCCATGGTTGGATGGTGCGGTGGTATATCGTCTTGGCCGGTCTCCCAAGTAAAGTCTGGATAGCTCGGACACATATCCCACTCGAGACGGTTGATCGCTAGTTCAGGTCCAGCAGAACTTAACCACATTTCTCACGGCGCTGGTACACACAGATTACGAAAGAATGCTTGTAAAACAAAAGGGTTTGAATTTCTCTTTGGTGCGTACTCACGGAGGAGGGTCAACCGTTTGTGTAATCAAGCATATCTCATTGTGGTATTTGCGTATGTAATCCAGAGTATGAGTGTCTCTGACGTCAAAAAAGTCATCCCACATGTATACATAGCACCGGTCATGTGTCATAGCTCTATAGCTGAATATACATTAAATGATTTAAAATAAAAAGATGTGTAGTCAGGTGGGACGGGCTGGTAAAATAGATGGGTCGAACAGATAAGGAGTGACGAACAGGCTTAGATGTTGTTGACAGCGATTCGGTGTCGGTCATTAACCCATGCGAGTCGCAACGAATTCGCTGCCTCGCTTGTGATCCGAAGGGTGTTTAGTGTGCTTGACTGATAGGTGATTGTGAGCAGCAGCATGCGAGTTCTCCATACTCAGCCATCAGTATCGTCGGTCCCGAATGTCAAGATATCGACACGTAATTCGTATACAATAACACGATTCAGCTCGTATTCCACCCAACGATAACGTAGTCTCCTCGTAAGATGAAGACATAAATATGGTCTGATCTTAAAAGAAATGAATCCACTAACGACCTAACCTCCTGAGAGCATGGATATCCCAAACAGCAGCACCGTATTACTCGATATCCCAGGCTGTCTCACTACATCAGATGCCCCTCGAATTTTTGAGGACCCTGCTTCGTCGACGTCATATACATCTACTCCCGAAGCCGCGCCTACGTTGGTGCGGTGCTGTGAGGCCGAAAAAGAATACAGCGGAACTTAACCATATGTACATCATTCCTTCATTCATGGGGATGTGGTCCTCACTCAGTATTCAACATCGCAATAACAAACTTTCTTTCTGACCCCGTCGCCGGCACCTCAAAAAGACCTTGTATCATATCATCTTCTGTTACGGCGGGGGCATTAGGTTTTTGACAGTGTCTCACTTTCGGATGTCAGAGTCAACAGTGTCTAAAATTACGACCCGGTCGTTATTATATAATGCTTTAACATACAAAATTGTTTATAATGCATCTAGAGCCTCGGAACTAATTTGACCATTCATTCTTTTCACATTCACTTGATCTTTACCACTCTTATTTTTTTGGTTTCTAGACATTCTTTATTTTTATTTCGGGGCCAATTACTGTCTTTCCAAGTTTACAACTAAATACAAATTAACATAACAACAATATGCAGGTCATGCAAAAATTTATGCAAATCGCGAGTTTAACGGCTGTAGCCCTGGTAGGCATTACTTCAGCTATACCAGCATTACCGCAACTTTCCCCCCAGGCTCTAAGGGCATATGAAGCTGGTCAGCAGGTCCGACGCTCGTTACTCGAAAGTCGACAAAATCCACAGACTGGGTTACCTGATGGACTTACAGATGTCGACATCTTAGAGTTGTGAGTCCATATTAATTCAACCCAGGCCTCCCAGCAGCTTACCCATCAGTGCTCTGACTTTAGAGAATCTCGAGGCTTCCTTTTACCAACAAGGCTTTGCCAGGTTTCCAGACTCTGATTTTGCAGCATTGGGTCTAAATCAAGCCGATATTTTGAATCTCAAGTCTATTAGCACTATCGAAGCAACACACGTAACGACTCTTTCAGCAGCCATCGCTGGTACGGGAGCTGCACCAGTCCAGCCTTGTATATATGACTTTAAGTTTAGTGATGCTGCATCTATGGTGTCGACAGCATCAATACTGGAGAGTGTTGGAGTTTCAGCGTATGCAAATTCCGATCAAACTTGGACAAAATTAGATAAAGGCTAACCTATTGATCAAAGATATCTCGCTGCAGCTCCTCTTGTTAAATCCCCAGCTATTCTTACCGTTGCTGCCGAAATTGTCACCGTTGAGGCTCGTCACCAAACTTTTATTCGAACAGCATCCAAGGCTGTGGCTATACCAGGTCCCTTTGATACACCTTTAGGAATTCGGGGCGTCTTCTCAATCGCCGCAACGTTTATCAAATCATGTCCATCCGGCTCGAGCTTAGCCATCACGCCCTTCCCACCGCTAACTATGTCACCCTCTCAAGCCCCGGGCAAGATGGTTGGTGGATCAGAGGTTAGAATGGATTCTTCGGCAGCTGCGAATGCTGTAAGCTGTGCGTTTGTCAACGGTGGACAGCCGGGAGGGGCCGCCTTTGCTCCTTTCAAGAACGGAGCATGTGTTCTTCCGATGGGTCTAAATGGTATCACCTACGTTCACCTGGCGAACTCGATACCCAAGGATGGTGTCTTATCAGATGCTATCGTTTTAGCTGGTCCGCTAGTGGTAGTTATCGACTAGTTGGTTGATAAAATGGATAGATATGATAGGGTTCTATAGGCACTGGCTGTCTTGTCTTTGAAAGATACATTTCTAAGTTAAATTGCAGTAGGATTACGTTCTACTCACTACGCTCATGCAGGTAACACGAGGCAATTCTTAATTTTTAGAATAAGGTTAGTGGGCAGTTGAGTCTGCCGGATAAAAATCAGGAGGGTTTCAGAAAATAAATGTACTACTGAAGAAGCATAGAATAGATAGTTTGTATGTGTAACCCACAATAGAAAATGTGGGCTCGAAGAGCTACTCACTTACAATCGTGAACCGTATTCTTCTCGTTAATATGGCAGTCTTACGGTCATATTGCTCCACAGAAATTTGCAATTTTGCCATCAAATACTTTGCAGTAGCACGACAATATGTCATGAAATCAAAATTCATAAGCTAATTGTTTGACGCAAGTAAGATCTACGCAGTATTGTTAGTCTGGGGGAATAATATCTAGAGGTACTTGAGCGTGGCAGACATAATTGTGTTCCTGACCCTCGCCATAGGTATCAACTGGCCGTGACGGGTTTCATGCACGCTTGGTAGGTAGGCCCGGGCGTTGCACGTTGGACTGTGATTGAGTCATTCTGGTGTAAACAACATAATCACGTAGGTTGAGCTTCCACATTGATACATTTGCGATCATACAAGTGTATTATTAGTCAGGAGGGCTCCGAATATCAGAGAGTTAATGGCATACCACAGTTGCATAATCAGCACAGGCAAGTTAGCCCAGGTTAACTTAAAGCATACAAACTATCGAGGCTTAATACCTTACAGCGACCTCTAATTTATCCCATGGCACATATGATAGTATTGAAAGAGGACTAAGAGGGCATTGAGTGATTCCCTTGTGTAAATACAAGTCTTCCACGCCGAGGGCAAGTCTGAAAACCCGTGCGCGGTTCCCTCTACGAGCCTAAGAGCGAAATATACTCCCAGAGCCAAGCTCAGTCAAATTTCGCAATACTATTTAGCAAATATTGACCCATAAGTCATTTAGGGTGTAGAGCGCATTGATTTGAGTGACTGCCGGAAACAATCATATTCAGAACAAAAAGAGGACAACAAGCATTGCTTGAATTTTTAAATACTTCGAGGTGTATTGCTTTACACAAAGGAGACTAGATGGGAGAAAAAATGGTGGAAAGGAAGAGACTAAGATGGAGGAGAGGAGTTATCTTGGAGATAGTTATTTAAAATAAATGTATATTAATTAAATTGTCATAGCTAGCTAGCTGAATACAATATGAATTAAAAATTCCAGATGATAAGGGCGGTCGAATTGCTGCTGAGGGAAAGGAATAGGTCAAGCTGCAGATGTGGTCGATAGAGATAGTGTAACTGGTTAACATGGAAGCGCTATTTATTTATTTATTTTGTTTTTAGGTCCTAAGCTAAGCTCTATATCTCCTAGGAGTCAAGGACCGGCGTACACGGCCGAGATCATGCTTCCCACAAGCCCAACTCGGTCCCACCGCGTAAACCACTACACAACCAGTAGCTAGTGAAAAATGAAATTAAAAACACCCATAAATTCCCTTAACAAAAAATTCCAAATCCAATACTCCAATTTGAGGTAGGAAAGCGACACTTCTCGTCTCGTTTCCCTTCCTGTCATGCTTCGTGCCATGACCTAGTTAATGTTGTCTCCGCTGAGAGCTGGTGACGGACTTGCAGGTGAGTCGCCGAAGCAGCCGGTTGTGGAAGCGCTATTGTTAAGTGGCTGGGGACTTACTGGACAGGTATAGAGTTGGATTAGGATACCCACGGCGATCTGGCGTTATGGAAGCACTAATGACATCTTTATCACTACTCGCTTAATTCCAATATCATTATAAATCTGATTTGTAGGCAAAACTTTGTTAGTGTTTATTTTCCTGTAAATTCTATGACTATGAAAGGACATGTAGGTCCTTTCTACCTACAGGCCGGGAGTATCTATGACTCGGGTAGTGTACTCCCTCCTTTGCCTCCCTCACGACTTCTTTCCAGCAGTAATATCCCCACAGGTCTTCATCAGAGTACAAACTAAGAGGAGCCATTATCACGTCATTATCTCCCCTCTCCAGCCAACGAAACGATGGCCATTTGCGGGTGCGTAGCTGTAGGGAAAAGTCTCAAAAACCTCTGGGTGCGGGGCTCTCGTATGACGAAGAGGCCGGCCAACCGGGCGCAGCAGACCTGTGTATACCACCTAATTGTATCTCTCAACCTTCATAGCCTCCTCCTTACTCCTCCCCTAATTCATGCCGCAGGACAAACCGAAGCTCGTGAAAGGATGTCAGAAAAGTACTCGTCGAGAATGATTGCCGTAAGCAGCATAGCCTAGTATCCAAAAGTCGTCAAGGACGTGGGGTTTTCGAATAACTCATGTATTTCAGATGCCCTCCTGACTAGTAGATTCGGAAGTATAGATAAGTAGGGACGATATTGTAGACGAGTCAAAATCTGCCTTTCTTGAGGGCGGAAGGATCTTTTACTTTGCTTTCGTGGGCTTTTTGTTTATCCGCTGGTGGGTAGCACATGTTGTGATATAAAGAGGGCTTCTCTGACTACCATTGTAGCGTTTGGTACCGCATTATCTTTCCTCATTCCCAGCATCATCGTCTTAGTCGTCTTATGTGTTATCGGAAGCGTATCTTTGACGGAGAGGGAGATAACTCAGCTCAAAGATGAAAAGGTGTTACTCATTCTTGAGTCTGCAGACTCTATAGTGAGAGCTGGAGGTTCGTAGGAGACACCACTGACAGGCGTTGAGAACAGTCCCTCAGGGCAAAGTTCTGCTGCTTAGCTTTATTACCTTTTAAACCTTGAGTTCTTACTTGCCATGATTAGCGTGTCATGACAACCATTGTGTGACTGCGCTTCCTGAAGGATAAATTGGAAAACATAGACAAGTATTCGACTTTAGTTATCTAAATATTCAGAAATATAATGAATATGGTCTGTTTGTCGATTATGATGTGGCTGCGATTGCAGTTGGATGTAAAATAATGTAAAGGTCTTTATCAAGTATCTTTAATATAAATATTTACTATGGAAATACCCTCCCGTAAAGTCTACTCTAGTATGTACATGTAAATGCCTTCTCTTATAGATATTCCCAAAGTCAAATATAGAGCACCTATATCCCCTGAGATATATGTTCGATACAGAGTTGTGACCTGCCTCCCATATTATGCGCAAGTCCGAAACTACGTTCTACCATGTCCGTCAGTTCTGTATTAAGTTTCCCAGCCTTCATTTCCGTGCAAATATCCTAAAGTGTAATTTGCCCGTAGATGTATGATCAGCGGCGGAAACCTGCAGTCTGATAAACACAGTTTAGACACCATGGGACTAGAGTCTAACTCTAACAACAAGAAATAGAAAGGTTTGGGGGGTTTTCACCAAACGGTTTCCTCCCATATAAATTAGAAAGAATGATAGATAACTGCATACGTCCATAGGGCGCCAAATCAGTACAATGGAATCAAAATCAAATTTAAATTAAAAAGATGTGACTTCCGAAGCAGAACTAAGTACAGTAAGACAGTTGTTAAGCCGATATTGCCGTTTATACGATATATTTTTCGGAACCGACTCCGTTCTTATAAATCTACCGATTACTCGATTATCATTCTTCAATCTCTGAATAGCGTCTTAACCAGTTTTTTTAGTTAGATTGGTGCCAACAATGCCGCTAAAAAAGGTAATTTCCGTAGAGCAACGACGTGCTCTGCGACGATGGGCGCACCGCCAGGTCCCAAAACCAACACAAAAACAGTGTATTGAATGGTTCTTCGCTGAGTATGGCCATCGATTAAGCCAGTCCACAGTCTCCGAGTTCTAGAGCAATACATTTGCGAAACTCAACGAAGCTACAAGTACTACTGCGCCACAACAGCGAGCCGGAAACAGGCCGGACCTTTAGAGTATTAGAGCGATTAAAGACGGCAATTTGGAGTATACAAGCGGCATCAAAGGTAAAAAGTAGCCTAGATAGCTGTGTTGGATAATCATATCCTTTACAGCGATATCCTTTATATAACGATATTTTTCATGGCCCCGATTGCATCGTCTTAACAGGGGTCTAACTGTACAGGCTTTCTAGTCACGTGTGTGTCAACAAAGTGGCCTGGTTGGTTGCCCCGATCATTTCTACTTCCAACAAATGCCATGAAGTTGGCCCATATGGCGATGATTCAAAAGACTATATCACATCAGATTTTCACACCCAACGAGATCGATTCCTATGAAAGCCTCGTCAAGTCTGCAAGTGTGACTAAGTACATTCTCATTTCAATTACCACGCCTCTCATTGATATTTCTCTGACTTCAGCTGGTCACTAAATACGCGCCATCGACAGTACACATACCCACAGGCTGACAAAAATTGTGGCGCACAAATGTGAGAGGAAGTTCTCTGGGATGGAAGTGAGAGGGATCAGGACAAGTGTACAAGATGATGCAAGGGAAGAGCACAACTCTAACGGGAGTAAGACTTAGAATTTTGGTCAGGATTTTAATAGATTGAAGAACATTATGCGCGCCAAGACTGAGATTGCGAGAGCACAGCTTACACTATAGACACAAGTCAACGATGAAAGGTACTGTAGTCCACCACCTGGTGGTGTTCTCTGGTATAGTTTAAATAGTCTGGACACCTACTCCATTTGGGAAGGAGACACCTAAGATCACATTTCGCGCATAGAAAATTCAGTGGATGATAGAGGCATGTCTGGATAACTCGTGGATTTCACACGTTCCCCAATGTGGGTAATCACGGATGAGGGTTGACTTGGGATGAAGAGAAAGTCGCCATAACTTCGCAGTGATACTTGCAAATGAAATTCGAGGCATGGGTGCTCTTCTTTGGGATCGAGTCATCTGTTGTGTACATTTTCTCTGATGTTGCGTCATAGCTAACTACTGAATACCCAATTAAAATCTGATGGAAAAATAAGTTTACAATCCTATCCTACTGCCAT